AGGGAATGAGGGGAGGGTAGCATCTTCTGTTTCAAGTTTTTGTATTGCATCACACAGTGGTGTGTGAATTCATGCCAGCATTGATAAAGTACAACTCCCTCACACCATACATCCCTATACAAGAGCTTTACTACCACTGAACGTCACTGTGGGTACCAAGCATTTCTCTCTGTACTCCTCCTCTAGCAACACCAGAACATTTTGGATGCATTTGGTTCCGAAATGATTGACTTGGTCTCTTGAGACCAGTTGGTATTCTTCTTGTACCACTGTCCTCTTTTATGCTAAGAAATAAGTCACCTGGCAGTTCTCTCCCGAGTGGTTCCACTGCTGCCAGCATTAAGTCTGAGTATGATTCAGTGGGCCATATAACACTTTTAATTGTCAGGAAATTACTTGTCTTTAAACGTTTTGTTTCAATATACTTACCTGTTGATCAAAAATAGCCTTAAATCTATACACTTTTTTTAATTATTTTTTTTTAGTTACTTTCAGGAGGGTGTACTCATTTTTGCAGCACAAAATTGTATCACTTTGATAGGAAAATCTTATTTTGCTGAATAATTTTGGCATTCTTCTTTAATAATTGATCAAGCAGGCTTGTTGGAACATTACATCTCCAAAGAACCCTAACATGTCTTCTAAATAAAAAGTAATTGCTGAATTTGTAAAGTTTTAGAAGGGGGTGTACTCATTTATGCTGTGCACTGTGTGCATATATATTTATATTTATACAACAGTTCGTTCTGGTTCTCAAATCTGATTGGTTGAGAACCATGAGATATTGTACTGGTATCGCTACAGGAACGCACTTTCACAATTTTGTATCACTCCGCTTGTTCTAGCTGGGTCTATGTTTTTTTTAATTATTCACTGAGCTAATCGTAGAGTACGTTAGTTAATATAAGAAGAAACGTCTAGCTTCGCGGTCTCTATTTCATTTGGCTGCACGTCTTGCTGCATTGTTTCTCTCTTATAACCATTATTTCTCACTAATAACCTAACTGAAGCAGCACATGCCCTTGATACGAATTCTAAAAGTGACGCATGTTTAACTGTCAACTTGAGCTTTGAATCTGTGGCGGAAGGAAGTAGTTCCACACAAAAGAGGGTTTTATTAGGCACTCCGTTATTTGTTGTTTAGTTACACACGTTCCGTTGAACTGTTGTATAAACGCAATATCACTCTTGTACTCGAGCGATACCGGCTCTATATCAGCGGCTGTGATTGCCTGCGGCCTCGTGCCTCTGGCCTAATCATACCCATGCTGATATAGAGCCGGTATCGCTCGAGTACGAGAGTGATATTCCTCATATATATTGCACACACACATATACATGCACACAAAGAAAAACAAGTAGATAAAACTTTTTTTTTTAATTAAAAAAATAAGTTAAAGTATAATTGAAATAGAATCGAAAGTGCTAGAGTTAGAGGGTCAAATAAAGATGGAACAGATGTGTTTTTAATCGTTTCTTGAAGATGGCTAAGGACTCAGGATTGAGTTGGGCAGGTCATTCCACCAGGAGGGAACAGTTAATGAAAAAGTCTGTGAAAGTGATTTTGTGCCTCTTTGAGATGGCACAATAATGCATCGTTCACTTGCAGAACACAAGCTTCTAGAGGCACATAACTCTGAAGTAATGAATTTAGGTAAATGGGTGCAGAGCCAGTGGTGGTTTTGTAGGCAAACATTAATGTTTTGAATTTTATGCGAGCAGCTACTGGTAGCCAGTGTGACGTGCATTTTTTTCGACTCGTTAAAGATGAATCATTTTGGATTAATTGTAGAGGTTTGATAGAAGTGGCTGGAAGACCTGCCAAGAGAGCATTGCAATAGTCCAGCCTGGATAGAACAAGAGCTTGAACAAGGAGTTGTGTTGCATGTTCTGAAAGAAAGGGCCTGATCTTCCTAATGTTGTATAAAGCAAATCTGAAGGACCGGGTGATTTTAGCAATGTGGTCTGAGAAATTCAGCTTATCGTCAATCAAGGTTTATAGCTGTTATTGAAGGAGTTATGGTTGATGAGCCTAACTGGATGGTGAAATTTTGATAAAGTGATGGGTTTGTTGAAACCACAAGCAGTTCTGTCTTAGCCAGGTTGAGTTGAAGGTGATGGTCCGTCATCCAACAAGAAATGTCTGTTAGACAAGCTGAGATGCGAGCAGCTATCGTCGGATCATCAGGATGGAATGAGAGGTAGAG